AAACTAACTCTTCCTTCAGGACCTAGGGAGCCTTTGAGCGGGTTTAGTACATGTCTCGTGAATGTTTGAACATGAAAAAGCTATACACGCGATGTCTTACGCTTAGCCCCTTCTAAACCTACCTATGGCCCCTTCTAAATCGTCTTTAACGTTGTTCAATCGTTATCCGTACACGTTTTTGTGCCATTTCATAATAGCTGACGAAATATGGACGCATTACAATGCACTAAAGACCAAGAAATAGACAAGCAAGGCTAGTTGGCCTCCTTCTATGCTTCTTTTTCGAAAATCTCGAATCTCTTACGTTTTTCCGCGAATTCAAACATTCTTCATCAAATGCAGCTTGGTTTCCAATGTCAAAAATACCACAACAAAAAGTCACTGCTGTTGAGCGCTAAGTGCTGGCATGCGCCCATGTACCTACTTCCTTCTACGCCGCCGTGAACACCGTCAGCGTCACCAGCACCACCAGCACCGCCACTACTGACTGACAATCCTCTGTACATACCGACATACTCGCAACTTTAAAATCAATATTTGCAACGTAATTAACTTCAAAAATTGAAATTTATGCGATCGTTTCAAGTAGGAATTCTAATGAAGGGCTTTTAAAAATAGTAACACACAAACGGAGAAATCGAGCGACCGAGCTACCGGCTGGAGTAGCAGCAGCTAGACAAGTGGTGGGCATAATAAAATATCTGTATCTGTGTTTATGTACTTAAAACATAAATGCATTTCTTTGGCTGCCACCACGTACGTATGTAAGTGGGGAGAGTGTGCGCTTTTCATTTTGTTGCATTTTATTTTACTACTTACTTTTGTTTTTGTTATTCTATTGGCGCTTGGCCAAATTGTCTGCTGCGGTTTTTCAACGTGCAAAAATTCCCTGTTATAAGTACATATGCACATATGTATGTATGTATGTATGTATGTATGGCAACAAGCAATCATACAAAAATATTATAAATTTGTAACATAAATGCAAAGTGTCACCCATATAGGCAGACAGACGTATTTAAAGTCAATATTTAGCTATGCTGAAAAACCAGGGAAGGGTTGTCTAGACGCTGATTTCAAGCACAAAAAAAAAGAATTAAAAAAAAACAGAGAAAAGATCAGAGTTGCTTTGTGCAACTGCATGATTCTAGCAACTTTGTATACACTTTCTCAATTTTTTTTAATTTTTTATTTTTTTGTTTGTAATAATTTCCCTTAAGTACGCCTCCCACTTTATCCCATCTGACTACAGCCTGCCTGCCTGCCCTGTGACGAAATCTGCGAAAATTTACTGTAAATAATTATGCAGCGTTCAAAGTGAAAAGCTTACGCATTAGTCCGCTAACCCGCCTAACAGCCGCTTTCGTCTGCTGTGTACAACCTCCTAGGCCGCCGGCCAGACCAACCGGTCGCCGCGACGCGTCTATAAGTCGCTGAATTGAGTAATTACATTGGAAAATGAATTGAGAAATTGCATTGAAGTTGCTGTGGCGGTTTTGTGTGTGCGGTGAACGCTAATTGCGGCGCGAAAATGCGCGCATTGGCAACGGCATCAGCGAGACGCGCGGACTGTCTGTGTGGTTTTTATCTAAGCAAATTTTCTTTCGTTTTTTTGTGTGAGTATTGAGTTAGATCTCTACGTGAATTTGCATTTTTCTGTTGTCAATTGTCAATTGATTGCATATTAATTAATTATAAAGCTTGAGCTTATAATATAGTGATGATATAACAGTAATTTTTCCATCTCTTACAATAATTTGTATATACTTTTTTTTGCAGCACTTACAAATGTTCAATAAGTCAATCAATCATAATTTGCTATGAGGCGGCAAATAAATTTAAATTTTTACATATTTTATTGATCAGGGAATATGCAGAGGGATTTTTCAGATTTAAATTTCTTCCAGCGCAATGCATTATGAAATGATTCGATGTGGTGAACAGAACTTGATATTGTATTAAGCGGCTGATTTTAGCGCGAAATTTTGAAAAAGTGGATTTTTTATTCTAGGTCAAGATTGGGAAGAATTATCAATATTTTTAAGCCTGTTTGTCAAAGTGTTTCGAAAAAGCTCGAAGGTCTTGAAACCGTAATTGAAGTGTCAAAATTCCTTTAAAATATTGATTAAGTTTACATTTTTTACGGTTATAAAAGTTGAAAACTATGCAAAATGAATGTTGACATATTAACAAAACACCAGATTTGATATTTCCTTATACACTTGAGCGCTCACTATAGTTGGAAAATTAAAAAAAAAAAAAAAAACCAGATATTTTTTATACAAAATTTTGGCAGTTTAGTTAAAATTTCGTATGTTTTTTTGATGTTTGAGATTTTGAGTATAAAAGTACGCCGTAGAAGTTGATAATTAAAAAAAAACTCAAAACTTGAAAATACATATTTTCATCCAAAAATTTTCAGAAATTTTGAGGGGTTTTCTAGTTCGAAAATATTTTTCACACACATATACAGTTTTGGAAAGTTTTTTAAAATTTTTGAGTTTTTCGGAGGCTTCAGGTTCTTTCCTGGTTCAATTCTTACGCGAAACTTTGAAAAATGTTCCCATATATTTAAAACTTTTGACAGTTAAATAACGTTTTCTTATTTTTAGTAATTTTGAGAATTATTTTAGTTAATAACATGCCTTAAACCACAAACATTTTGAAAATCTCAACACTCTAAAATATTTCTCTGGCATAATTACAGCGGTTCAGTAAAATTTTCGAGATTTTGAGGTTTTTTTTTAGTTTAAGAGCATACTTTTGGCGTACTTTAAGAAAAAATTATTTATTTTAAATTTTTATTTTTTTTTTTTTTTGGCCGATGGAAGTTCGAACTTTTATTTGTAGTTTTCGAAAATTTTCTATCAAACTCGAATGGATTTGAAAAATTTATAATTTGTTTGGAGAAATAATCTATCTGCCGTTTACACTTGAGGCAATTCCTGGATTCGAAAATTTTGAAAAAACTTGAAAATCGATATCTTAGCAGTTAGTCAAATTTTCTTGTTTTTCGTAATTTTTGAGCATGAAGGTGAAGTAATAAAACAGCTTTCTCGCTTTATTTTCTGATATTCGGCTGCCTTGTAGTCAAATTTTATAGGAAAATTTTCAAATAAGTCAGTGTCAAAATCTTTCTTCTCGCTCTAATTACTTCACCTGGTATAATTCCACCATGTTTTTGAGAATTTTTTCTAGTTCAAGGGAATATTTTTACTGTATTTTGAGTAAATAGAGTTCATTTTGAAAATTGCGTAGAAAAAAGGGAAAATTAAATGTTTGAGGTTTTTGAAAATTTGTTGAAAAAACGAAATAGCTTCGATAACTAATTTATTTGCTGGAAAAATAGTCAGGGGCTTTCTAACTCATCTTTACACTTGAGGCGTTTCCTTTAATTCGAAAATTTTGTAATAAAAATCAATATCTTTAAAAAAAAAATTTTCGAATTTAGTGAAATGTTCCAGTTTTTAAAATTTTTGAGATTTTTTCCTAGTTCATGAGAATATTTCTATTGTATTTTGAGAAAATAGAGTTCATTTTGAAAACTGCACTAAACAAAACGAAATTTTAAATTTTTTTTCAGATTTCTAAAAAATTAAAAAAAAATAAATTTCTTCGATGACTAATTTATAAACTTTTTCTCTTGAAAATTATTTTGAAAATTAAAAAAAGTGTTTTGATTTCCTTGTTTTTTAATAACAAAGTGTAAAAGTTTAAGTCCATAAGATAAGAGAATCGGTTCCAAAAATTGGAATAAGGAGGTTATAAGAAGGTTAAAACGGTTTTAAAATTTTTTTCTTGATTCGAAATATTTGTCCAATACAATTTTTTCTAAATTTATGCACTCTAGAAGTTTCAAGTACAATCTTTTAGTAATAAATTAGAATAAACAAATATTTAAGCGAATAGGGGGCTTTCAGATATTAGATATATACAAAGCTTCCGTTTCCGATTTAGCGGTGTGAGCTTTTTTACTTTCGAAAGACATAAAATTCGAATTTGTTAGAATTTTTTTTTAACTTTTCACATAAATACTTTTTAAAAATTAAAAAAAAATGTTTTGAATTTTTTTACAGGCTACTATTTTTTATAATAAGTGATTAGAAAGTGCAATTCAGAGCATCTGTGAAGACCTACAGTATAATGAGATTTTTTTTTTTAAACCAGATTAACCGCTGTTTCTTCTAATTAAGTAACTGATCAATAACCGAACCAAAATTTTCCAGAAATGTTCGATCCCAACTACTTTTTTTTTAAGATTTCATTTCGAGCAATTTTTTATCAATAACTTTTCACTTTTTTTATTAGTTTTTTATTTAATTTTTTTTAAATATGGTAATACCATGGTTATTTGCCATTTTAACTATGTATACATACATGCGTATGATATTAATTATACACATATATATTTTTTGTTTGTTTTTTGGGTTGTTGCTGAATGAATATATCATAAATATACAATTTTTTTTTTTTAATTTCCGAGCCGAAACCCCGGTTCAAAGACACAAAAACCGTTTTTTTCGAACTAATCCAAAGTTTGCAAAAATGGTTCCAACTGCTGAACCGAACCAAAAAAATTTTGTATCCTGTTCACGTCCTTGATTCTGAGGTATGCAATTCAAAACGACTTGTTGCAAATTAGAAAGGATATATCGCAGCCAAATGTAAAAATTGGAAAAAAAATTAAAAACTAGATTTTAGTACGGAGGGATTTTTAGAATAAAGTATGTTATCAGAAATTATATATATCTTCCTTAAAAAAAATCTAAGAGCCCGAAAAGAAAAAAAATAAAAAGCTAACACCTTCAACCAGCTCTGACAGAAATTTGAAATCAGTGACTATATTCATACAAATTTTCACACCAATTTATGTATTTTTTTGTTGGCAACACCTTTTTAACTTTGTTATAGATAATAAGAGTGGAATCAGCAGGACTTTCCTACTCTTCGCTTTTATATATACATACATAATTCTTATAAATTTCAAATCACTCACTCACCTGTTGTAAAAATTGTGCCAATAGATAAAATTGCTCCTTTTTGAAAAACCAATCCATCGATTGAACAGCCGTCAAATCCATATCGGCTGTCCCAGCGGCTTGCGGCACTTGTGGCTGCATTCGGTGGCTGCTAGCGGCTAATAATAATTCTGCTGACGTTGGCAGATTGCTGCTATTGTTGCCGCTACTATCACTGCTGCTAAATTTATTAACCACAGCTAAATTGTTGTTATTATTGTTGTTAGTATGCTTATTAAGCGTTGTTAAACATGCCGTTGTATTAACTAGTGCTGTTGCTGTTGCTGTTGCTGCGCTTGCTAGTGTTGTTGGCGTTGCTGCCGCCGCAGTTGTTGTTGTTGTTGTTGCTGGCGAAGTTGGTGTTGTTATTGTTGTGACTGTAGGTGGTGCACCAGCAGCAGCTGCAACATCCGCACTGGCACCGGCAACGCACGCGCTCGCCGTTGTAGTTGTTATTGTTGCCGCCGTTGTTGCTGGCCTATGGACGGCACGCGTTGTTGTTGTTGTTGGTGGTGGTGTTGCAATTTTTGGGGTTTTTATTGGTGGCGTTGCCGTGTTTGTTGTTGTTGTTGTTTAGTTGTTGTATTTTAGATTTAGGGTTTTTTCTTTGCGTTTTCCAGCAGTCGCTTGCGGTCGCCGCTGCTGTTTGCACACGCTAGTTCACTTTTTCGAAAATCATTTGTTTTGAATTTTTGTTGTTTAATTTTCACAATTTTCTACACTTTTTCACAACTTGTTTGCTTTACTTTTCCTCACTCGGTTCAAATTTTCTTCTTCGTATGTCGTCTAACGCTAAATTTCAATCTCTGTCTGACCTTAGCCATTTATGCGGCAAGTTGGTTTTTTTGATTTTGAATTTTTTTATAACTAAAAAGAAACAAATTTTGTTATAGGTGGGCTTAAAAAAATCAGAAAAATACGGCAAACACACTGCAATGTTTTTGTGTTGTCACTGTTTCTTGAATATTTTTAGTGAAAAAAAATATTTCAGCTGTGTAAAAAAAAAATTTATAAAAAATATTGATATCGGGAAAATAAGTCTTTACTCGTAATCGTATTCAAGCACAGTTTTTATAAAGACTGTCAATATGCTTGACTGGAGTTTTATTATATTTTCACAGTTTTTCGTATAAAAGTTCATTTAGGTTTGAGCCTGAGCGTCCTTTTTAACAAAAAATTTCCAATTTTTTCACTTCGACTTCGATTTTAAATAAGATTCACTGCTTTTTAATAAAATTTTTTTTTCTAATTTGAAGTAGTGTCTCTCTTGTTTTTTCAATAAGTTTGCTTTCTTCATTATTTTTTAAATTCTCCTAGCATAAAAATTCTTGTTTATGTTCTTCCTTTAAAGTTAAATTTCCCCTACTATTTAACTGTTTTTCGAGCTAAATTTTTAATTTCCGCAAAATTTCCCTTTTTTAAATTCTGTTGTTTTTTTAATATCTGCAGATGCCTTACCTAATTTCGATCAAACGTCTTTTTTTTTGCTATTTTTTTAATTTTTTTATATCTTGAGCTACCTTATCTGAACAACTTTCGTTAAAGTTTTTAGTTTTAATGCGAAACTCAAAAATTTTGCCAATCCCTGTTTCTATATTTTCCATTCGAATTTTATTTTTATAACTAAAATTTTCAGGTTTTTGCTCTCTACTTTGCTTACCGGTAAATACCCTCACATAAGGACCTGTCTACACTTGGCATGAGAAACTGACTTATTTACGGAGAGGGAGAGGCCATTTGCGAAGCATTCTGTTCGCGGCTCAGACGGTGAAATATTTTTTTTTTTTTTTTCGTTCAGTTACAAAAACTATACATTGTGATGAAGACTTTCCATTATTTGCTGAAGCTATTCACAGTCTGATTTTTTTTTTATATTTTTTATTGGATTTCAAAAAGGAAACTCCCAAAATATTTTTAGATTTGAGTCATTTCTAATTAGTTCTTGAGCTAGTTTTAGTTTTTTGAATATTTTTTATTGACATGGAACTTTTTACATGTACAAAATTTAACACATTTTTTGTTTTCCTAACAAGTCGCTAATTTCTAAGCCATTTTTTAGCAAATTTTTTCAACAGAAATTTGAATGTTTTTAAACCACTTCTTGGCATTTTAAGGGTTTTAAACAAGTTCATACATGTCTAGTTCATTTCACAGCATTTGCAGATTTTTCAATACGATTTTTCAGTATTTTCTAAGTCTCTAACAATAGTTTATATATTTTTTGGGGCTTTCAACAGGGATTAAAATATTTTCAAATAATTTTCGGCACTTTCTGAGGTTTTCGACATGAGTTCATATATGTATTATTTAAGCATTTTTCAGCATTTTCTGGGGTTTTCGACACAAGTTCATATATTTTTTAAAGCATTTGCCAACATTTTCTTGGTTTTCTAAAGAAGTTCGTACGCTTTTAATTAGTTTTCGAGCCTTTTCGACGTTTTCAACCCAAATTCCAAAATTTTTAAAGCATTTTCAAAGAAACTTTTGAGTTTTCATCAAGAGTTCGAACATTTTCAAACCACATTTTAATATTTTATTGTGGTTTTCAACACGATTTCTCATAAGTTGAAGTTTTTGAGCATTTTCTGGGCTGTTGACAGGAGTTCATATATTTTTAAACCGTTTCTCAGCACATTTTTGGGGTTCGTATTTTTTTTAACCTTTTTTGCCTGGAGCTCGTATATTTTTAAGATTTTTTCAACGCTTTTTCTGCCTTTTCATACAAGTTTGCATATTTCAGAACAATTTTTCGTTCTTAGTTAGTCCTGATAATTATCAGTTTTTTATTAGAAAGTTTTTATTTCACATTTTTACTATATTGTTAATTGTTTTTTTTTCTCTGATATTTCACGATTTCTATTCAGTTTTTAGTTTTTTCGACCTGTTGTGTATGTAGATACCGACTTAGTTTGGGCCAACTTTTAATAGGCAACAACGCATTTGCCGTCGGTATTCTCTAAAGATGGTTAATCATAAGCCGCAAAGTTTGTGTCTAAAATGTTTTTGTTAATCGCTGAACTTGTTGTATGTAGTTGTAAAAAATTTAAACCTGACTCAATATTTTTTAATTGGAACCGAAAAGGGGCGAGACTTGACTGATTTTTTTTTTGTGGTAGAAAAAAATAAAAATTTATATCAAACTATAGCAAAATCCAAATTAGGCATAGACATTTTAAGGAACAAGAAGTTTGTGGCTTAGAAAGGCATAATAAGCACTGTTTTAAAATGTTGATTTTTTTTTATGTAAATATATATTTTGATTAAATCATTATTGTGCGTGCTCAAAAGCTAAACAAAAAACTTGCAGGAATTTCCTAAGAAAAAATTGCACTTAAAAATGTTTTCTTTAAGGTCAGAAATTTCTAATTTCTTAAGTAAAGTCTTAGGAAATTGTTCCGTATGCTTTTTAGTTTGTATTTTACTTTTTAATTTAAATTGTTCTAAATTTTAATTTTCTCATATGCATTAAATTTGCAATTTCAATATATTCCGCTTTTGTGAGCCTGAAATATTGATTATAGTTTTTTTTAGTAAATTATTTAATTTTTTTTTACTAGTTTCTAAAGTTTTATTCCTCCGAAAAATTGCTTTAATAGACCTTGTGTTCATAAAAAAAATTTCCGTAAATGGCAGCAGCCGCTAATCCTCAACAGCGTTAATAATTTTTTGCCGTCGCAAGTTGTGCGAACACTTTTTTAAAACGCATTTATAAATATAATTTTTTATAAAAATAAGCTGCACTGTTTTTGTTTATTTGTTGCATTGTTTTGTATAACTTGCGCAAACACATACACTAACAAACACACACCTGTATATAAACACTGTTTACTAAATGCACGCCCACAATTTAGCAAAATGTTATTGCCTGCATGTGCATGCTTGTTGTTGTTGTTCCAAATTTTTATTTTTTTTTGTCGAAAATGTTAGTTTTTCACTACCGTTCACGTTGCGCGTCGTACTGTTGTTATCGTCCCCGATATTTATCTGCTAATTCATGATTTTCAACTAATCAAACACCGATTTTCTTAGTAAGTACTCGTAGTACCCATAAAACCCGATTTATTTTGTGTTTTTTTTTTTATTTGTTTGTATTAATTTTCTATCGAACGTCGTTTATTGTCCGACCTGGCCATCATGCACTTGGCTCTTTTCTCCATTAATAAATAACAAACAAACACAAGTCAGACAGACAGACACACACGCTCAGACAGCGCAACTCTAATCTAATAAGATGTTGCCTGTCACGAATTCGGCTGATGACTGAACAAATCGAACATTAACGAAGCGCGCACAACCCTCCCGTGTGTGTATGGCTATGGCCAATGTGGCAGCAGCGGCAGCATTAACAGCAGCGACGTCAACTGCGCGACAAGACTACATTGAATTTTAGTTGTACGAGTGTATGGAAGTAGGCAGAGCGGCGGGTGCAACGCCGGCAGAGGCGATGGCAGTGAAGTATTGGCCAACATTCGTACCGTTCGAAAGTCGTCGATGTAGTGGTTGGTTTGGTTTTGTTTGGTTTGGTGCTCTTGTTGCTATCGTTGCTTCTCCTTATGTGGTTGTTGTTATCATTGTTTGTTCTTCTGCTTTATTCTTTGAGTGCTGCTATCCTCCACATCGCCCTCCCCACCCACTTCTATTGCTTTTTGGTTTGGCGTTGCCAATCGTTTCATCGTTCCATCATCGGTTGCTCCATCGGTTCATTCGCTCTGCGCGCCCACCATCGGCAGCACAACACCACTACCAACACCCAAATGCGGCGACATATCGCTGCTCTTCATTTGGCTCTTTTATTGTTATTGCTTTTTTCCCATACGTTATCGTTTTTATTTGCTTGATTATTATTTTTTTTTTACTTTTCTTCTTCTTCTTACTTTGTCTTTGATTTACTTTATTTCATTATTACCAGAGAACTTAGATAGATAGAGAAGGTGCAAACTGAAAGTGGAAA